GTTAGCCATCTGCAGCCTTCCCGGGGCTCCGCTTTCCTTCCAAGCTAAGTAACAGTTACACAGTTGTGGAAAATCAGCGTCACAGTTTCCTCTAGCGTAAAGCCAGCCAGACACGTCAGTGAACGTCCTAACAGAGTTTCACAAACTCTCCTTCCCAAATCTGTGTAGATAGGACTACGCCCCTGCATTGTCACCTTCCCCTCAAGGCAACTTTGACAAAACTCTGGATATCCACAGGGCATGTCCGCTTAGATTGCATTCGGCCTGATAGATCCCCGTTTGGGGAAATCCTCTAAATTAGTCAGCAGTTTTTGCTCACCTCCCTTCGTTAGCTTTTGGGATCTTTGCTCCACCTCATCTGTAAGTCTTCCATGAGCTGATCGGTCAGTTATTAGACAGGACTTAACGCGTGTTAAACCTCGGCTTGTTGAGCCACAGAATTTTGGAGCAACCATAAACGCTGGTTCTTCAGACACTGCTCACGTGTAAATGTTTGTGAACCAGTATAACAGGGTTCACCCAACATGCTAAAGACATATAATTAAAGTTTGCACAAAGGTGCCCAGCTACAAAGTGTACGTAAAGGTGCCCAACTGCATGGGAATTAGGTATTTTCTAAGCTGGAAGAGGGAGACAATTTTGGACAGCAGGAGGGCTTAGCCGAGTGCTGCTTTTGATCCATTGTAGTTGTTCTGACCCGACTCCCCAAACACAACAAACCCTCTGTAGTTAAATAAATGTTTATTAGGAGGGCCAGCAGCCCCAGCAAAACGTCCCTGTCTCTGTCTCTCTCTCACAGCAGACTAACAAGTCTGTCCAGCAGGGAGATGAATAGTTGTCTGCCACACTTATTCATCTCCACCCCCTGCCCTTTAACCCCAGAGCTAGGGTGGGGCTTTGCTAGCAGAGGTGGCTCTTCCATCCCAAGGACCGGCCCATAGATTTCCACTGCTCTCCTCTCCTCTGCCATCTGTGCATCAGGCGCTGGACCCAGGTGTTCCTCCCCTTCCTCATCAGCCACCTCCAGACCTGAGGGCTGTTGACTCTCCATCTGGGGGCTAACTGACAGCCCAGGCCTCCACCTCTCTCTCCCTCTCCTTCTCCCTCTCTTTCTCCTTCCCCCCCTCTCTCTCCCTCTCCCTCTCCCCCCTCTCTCTCTGCCAGCTCCATTCCCTCTTCCCCCTAGAGCTCTCGGGTTGCCTTGACTGCTGACCCTGACTCCCACACCTCCTCCTCCTCCTCTTGGTTCAGCTGCCGGCGGCGGCCAACAGACCACAAAAGTAGTCCAAGTAGCTGGCTTTACTCGCTGTGTCATTTTATCCCCCCGCTGTTCCCAAAGGAATCCTGCTTTGTGCGGACTTTTAATAGCTCTAGTGGCAGAAGTACGAAGAGTCCAAGCCCGGCCCTTGTAAACTTTATCCTTTCTCACTCCAGGCGGTCAGTTTCCTGAAGAGGAACGTTCTGCTGTCCGGAGGCTTCGTTGGTGGCTTCTTGCTCGGCATGGCTTCTTAAGGAATCCCACCCCGATCTGCCTTTCCACCGGCTGGCCTTGCGCCCATCTCCCGCTCCGTTCCTCAGACTGCCTGATTAGCCCGCTGAAGCATTCAGCCTCCTGACTTGCCTTTCTTTCGATACCTGCAAAGCAGCATCCGGAAACACCACTGCTAGCCTTTCTTCCCTTCCTCCACCCCCCCACCCCCCCAATTTGTTAATTCGATACAGGAGGGAAGTTGGATCGATCTTCAAGAGGGATTCGATCCCTGCCTGAGATGCCACAATCTGCAGAAATTCCTCTTCCCTCCCACACATTTATTTATTTTTCCTTTACTGGCATAACCTAGACAACTTACTATGGAAGGACCCATCGCACCTGCTTTTGTGTTCTTCCTCTCCTTAAGTGTCAAGAGTACCTCCTCCACCTCCTAGCAGAAGCAAGCAGGTCAACAGGATGGGACGAGAGCATGTCCTGTGAAATAACTGCCATCCAGAAATGGCTGCTTCTCCCTGGCTTCCTAACAAAAGCACGGGCCTGAGAGGCAACAGCTTCTTGGACTCGCTCATCCAAGGTTGTTTTTTGCTTTTGCTTTTTTCATTTATACTACAAGATGACTGGAAAAATCTGTGGAAACTCTTGACTCTGCCGTGTTGGGATTCTCTGTAGTCCTCTGTTGTCTGACCTGGAGGCCTGGAAAGATTTGGCAGCGCTGCCTGCCTCTCAAGGAAAATAATCTTAAAACTGGGTTCTTTGATAGTGGAAGGGCTGCAGGATTAGAGCCTGGCCTTTGTTCGAGATAAATCCAAGTCTTGGTCGAGACCGCTAGTGAATCCCGGGAGTGGAATGAATGTGGATGGCCTCCACTCTCTGGTTCAGAACTCCTGGGCGGTGGGGTGTAGGGTGAGGGGAGAGCTGGGTGGGTTTGCTTATGCCCTGAGCACTGCATGGGAGAGTTAACTTTACCCCAGAGCAAAAGCAGCCAAGTTGCCTGAAGTTTGTTTTCCCTTTATAGGAATTGCGATATTGAGCAGAAAGATATGTGTGCTTCCTCCCGAGGTTCTTGCCGTCTCATCTGTGGGATAGCAACAATAGCTTGTAGAGCTGTCATCCTTTTAATTTTTTTTCTTCCCCTCCCAGTTCCTATAAATGCATACATTATTGAATAACAGCAGCTTTCTTGGCCTGGAACCTCTTTCACTGGTTTTCTTAGGTGCCGTTCAAAGCTTACACCGTCCTCCCAAGAGTGTTTTTAGCAATAGTGATAGCATGTATACTTACAGGCCACCCTGTAGTTGCTTACAGGATTCTCTGGGTGGTTTACAAGGTAGAAATAGCATTTGCATATTGCGCCCCACAACAGTCCGGGTCCTCATTTTAGTGACCTCAGAAGGATGGAAAGCTTGAGTCAACCTAGAGCCCCATAAGGATCGAACTCTTGGCACTGGGCAGAGTCCGCTTGCCATATAGTACTGCATTCTTACCACTGTGCCATCAGGGCTTATATGTGCCATCAGGATTCATTGAAGGTTTCTAAGAACATATAGGACTACCTTGCAAAACTCCACCCTCTGGTTTTCATGAGGCTATCCGAGGAAAACAATGAGCTTGATATTATTCTAATAAGTTGGACCCTCCAGAGTTAAAGGCCGACGGGCTGTCACAGCCAATCACTGATCTCCTCACCTGAATGAAGGCAACTAGAAAACTTCATTCTTAGCACAGGGTCTTGATCAGGCAAGGAGCCATCCCCATGGTGGTGTCTTTCAACCATAGAGATGGGGTAATGGGAAATCTAGACAGTCACATTTGAAGAACCTCGGGTTAGGGAAAGTGGAAGGTGTGTGTACGAGGGTCGCTGTGGCTGCTTGTCTTCACTTGGCACAGATGGGAAACAAGGTTGGCCTAGACTTGTGAAAGAAAGGTGATCTCCAGGAAAATGTATTTATTAATGGCTAACGCCGAGGAAGCTTTTGCTGTAGCCGATGGACTAGCAAAAAGTCACTGCAAGTTACCTGCTCAGCATCAACTAACAAATTAAGTTTCCTGTCTATGGAGGTTCTCGGTGATCCAGATCATTGGTTATTCCAAATGTGCTTTTTTTCAGGAGGCAAAACTGGACTTTCTGGTTTTTCTTTGAAGACGTTTCGCTTCTCATCCGAGAAGCTTCTTCAGCTCTTTTTTTCAAAGGAAAAACAAAACAAAACAGAAAGTCCAGTTGCCTCTTGAAAAAAGTACCTTTGGGACACATAATGTCTCCTCTTTCTCAGGCCCGTTAAGGAATCTGGAAACACCTTGGAATTCCAGCTCTGTCTGCCCACTGCTTTTGTGGAGAGTACAAGTAGACCTTGACTTACGACCATTTATAATGGAGTTATGGTGATGCTGAAAAAAGTGACTTAGGACAGCCACAGCATCTCCATAGCCACATGATCCAAATTTCGGCTCTTTGCATGTTTACGATGGCTGCAGTGTCGTGGGGACATGACCGCCATTGGTAACCTGAGGGAGCGTCTCAAGGGAGGGGGAGGGGATTTGCTTAACTGCCCCATCTTTCGCTTAATGACCATGGCCAAAGTTCTAAAATCGGGCACCCCTCACTCAATAACCACACGGCTTGGTGGCAGACAATCCAGTCGCGATTGTGATCGTGAGTCAAGTACTATTGGCATAGCTTTGTCCCTGAGTTTTAGAATCATTTGGTGAAAGTACTTCTACAATTCTAAGTTGAGAACTTTTATGGATTTAGCGGCCTTCTGCTCGGCTCCTAAAAACTACAAAGACTACAAAACCGGAAGACGAGCCCAGGGCATTATTTGGTTTTAGGCAGTTGTGGGATTCAGCCGGTTCACACCGGTTTGATAGAGCCGATTCCTTAATTTTTTTTCTTTTGTTCGGCAAACCGGTGGAAACGAATCCGTTTCAGCACCTGGCACCAGATGCCCTTGCTTCCTCCAAGCATTTCTTTTGCTCACCTGATTTCCAGCTCCGCCGCATTTGTCACCATCGTGTTCAGGGAAACAAAAGTTAAATTCCAACTTCTTGCGATAAATCAATTCAAACTTGTCATGGAAAAAAAAAAAGATCTCGCGAAGTTGGAATTGATTGAACTTTTTGTTTTTAGTCCCAAACTTTTGTTTCCCTGCACGTGACGATGAGAAGCATGACGGAGAAATGCGACAGAGCTGGAAATTAGGTTAGGGGAAAAAATGCTCAGGGAAAGCAAGGGTGGTGGGTCGGGCAAGTGAACCGGATGTCAAATTATTTGAGTCCATCCACTGGTTTTAGGTGATGATTCTGACCACGAACTTCCAAATCTGGGAGGCAGGACATTTCTGCTACCATATATTGAACTGAGGCGTTGATTCGTCTTAACCAAGGG